ATGATTTGTGAACTTCATGATTAAGAAAAAATAGATAATAAAAAGAGAGTCTCTTCTTTTTGGAATCGTAAAGTAAGAGATAATTTTGTAACCATACCTTTGTAGCAAAAAGACCAGGCTGAGTGACAGCTCAAAAAGCACCATCAATCATAAGTCTGCCTGCCCACAAGAAATCTAAATCCAGCCCACCTTAAATTCCTTTCTATTCTTAACTCTTGCTCATTTCCCTTGGCTGTCAGTTGGTCAGATTCTTGTAGAGACCTTAAGCTTGCATTTCATTTGAACTGGCCGAATCGACTGATATCTCCAGTTCTCGATGATTTTTATATGCTGCACAGAAAAACCAAAGCATCTTCTTTATATTTCTTTTCCTCTTCTCTTTTTTGCATTTTTGTCTTCCTCTTTTCTTTTCTTTTTGCTTTATATTAGTTTTTGTAAGGTTTTAATCTTTTTAAATCTTTAAATTCCTCCCTTCCTCTTCCTTTCCAGTAAGTTCTTATTAAAAATAAGCATCCCATGAATCGTGTCCAACAGCCAAGTAGATCTTAAAACCGTACGGGCTCAGGTAATCAGGATAGCAGTTTGCTGTGGTCTTCTGGGGTTTAAGTGAAAATAAGAATGTTGACCAAGTACACTAAGGACTCCTTTGCACATGAGCACACGTAAGGACCATGGGAATGGCAATGAAGGCAGCCCAGAGCCCAGAAGTCAATTTCCTTTGTCAGGATGAATAAATCTTCTGGCAGGGTTTTATCCAGCTCCCCGGCTTCCGATTTGTGAGTCATTCCTCAATCATAAGCATCAGAAAATTTCTCCTTAGTTCTAGGTTGCTTCTCTAACGAACCGAGGAAAGAAGCAACCTAGAACTATTGAGAAATTTCCTAACAGTGAGAACAGTTAACCAGCGGAACAGCTTGCCACAAGAAGTTGTACGTATTCCATCACTGGAGGTTTTTAAGAAGAGACTGGACAGCCATTTGTCAGGAATAGTATAGGATCTCCTGCTTGAGTGGGGGTTGGACTAGAAGACCTCCAAGGTCCCTTCCATTATTCTGTTATTCTCCCCCCCACCCCCCGTTTTGTTTTTCCTTCTCCTCTGAAGTGTGACTTCGTGCCCAGCTGATGCAACTTGACTTCTCATGACTGTGAGGAGGTTTGGGAATACCATCCTTCTCACCTCCAGTTAGGCCCAACGTGGTTTCAGAAGAAAGTTGTGAAAAAATATCCACCGGCCAATTCACATGTCTTCTGCAGCCCTGCTGGGCTATCAGCTCTCAAGAAATCGTTTTGTAAATTGGCCAGATGTCTCTTTTGCCTAATGCTGACAATCTTCCTTAATTTTCTTGGCAGGCGTCTTTGTTATTTCTGTAAATCTTTTCAGGTGGGGTGGGGTGGGGGAAGTGGCAGATCTGGACATAAACAAGAGAGATAGCATTACTTCTCACACTTTCTCTCTGCTTGACCTCTGTGCAGGGAAGATTGGGGGCAAAGACATTTGCAACTGGAACGTACAAAATAAAACGTCACTGAGAGTCAACTTGGCCTAGTGCTGAAGATGCTAGCCTAGATACCTGGAGGCTGTGAGTTCCAATCTTCCCTTAGGCGTGGAATTCCAGTTGCGGAATACAAACAAGTTCTTTTCTGTCAGTCCAACTGAATTCACAGGGTGGGGAAGTGGGGAAGAAGAGAAGAGTAGGAGGAGTAGGAGCAGAGGAAGAAGGAAGGAAGGAAGGAAGGAAGGAAGGAAGGAAGGAAGGAAGGAAGGAAGGAAAGAAGAAGAAGAAGAAGAAGAAGAAGAAGAAGAAGAAGAAGAAGAA